TGTGTGTGTGTGTGTGTGTGTGTGTGTGTGTGTGTGTGTGTGTGTGTATTCCTTGAGAAACAAACTATATATAAGAGCAATTCAGTTTCTTACAAGCTTTTTTCTAGTTCACATTTGTGTATTGAAATGTTTGTGTTTGTGGATGATTAAGTTTACAATAAAAAAAGAAAATTTAATCAAAAGAGAAAAAGGATAATGGTTAAAGGAAACATATGAATTGTGAATGAAATAAGGAAAACACTTGATATAGAAGGGATTGAGAGAAGGAAACTTTTTGATAATTATTTGGCTTTTATAAGTGCTTCCCAAAATCTTTTTATTCAATAGTATAAGCATGTTTATCATATGTAGGTGCTGCCACTTGGAAGGGTTTTTTCTTCTGTGATTTTTATGGTTATTTAAAAGCTTTTCAAGAGATATTTTGGATAATTTTGGAATAATTTATTATTTATTTCCTCATCAAATATTTCTGTCCCTTTCTACTTGTAGCACTTTATTTTGTAGGTAGCCTAGATTACCCAAACTTGCCTGGTATGATGACATACCAGAGGAGGATACAAATAGTGACAATTGTTTGCATATATAGATTGAATATTATTATTTTTTAGGCTCACATTCTATTGGACTGTGGTGAAGACAATGTCTGCAAACCCAAACTGGAAGTGTCTGTACATAGGTAAGTTTTACAGCTATGTAAATACATGACCAATAAATACCGTGAAACTATTTCTTAAGAAGTAATTTTGATAAGATTATTTTTCTTCTTTATGATTTGAGAGTTCCATGAACTTAATAAACCAGAGATAATAAATAACTAATATGCCTATGTGAAGTAATTGTTATCATTATTTTAGAGATTCACAGATAAAAATAGTTTAAGCTTCCAAAAAAAAATCAAAATTCTCTTACCACTTGAGTTAGAGAAAGTATTTAATTTATTTGAAGTAGTTTATAAGTTCACTGATAAAGTGTGTGATCACTTAACTATATGTGTGATTGATTGCCCAATCCTGGATAAAAAAAATAAACATAATCCCCTTTCCCCTCACTTTGGTGACATAATTAAAATATTATGTGATCTACTAAAAACAAGAGGGATAATGTATGTATCATATGATGCATTTTTAAGTGGAAGATTAAGTTAGGAGTTAGCTTTTGAACATAAGATAACAGGAGTTATTAATAAAAGTCTCATAGGAGGAAATTTACCAGTATTTTATTTGATATTTTATTTCATCAGAGGAAAAAGTGCTAATATTTCTACTCAGAATATAATGCCAATGTTCTACTGAATGGTAAAATATTCTTAAGCCTTCTCAAATAATTTTTGAAATTATTACTCCATGCACCTGTCTCTTGGTTTTGCCATGCTCTTCTCATTTACTGTCTGGATTTGTATTCATTTCTAGTGATCAAAAGAAGATCTATATTGGTGATGACAACCCTCTGACACTGATTGTTAATGCCCAGAATCTAGGGGAAGGAGCCTATGAGGCTGAACTCATTGTGTCCATTCCACCTCAGGCAGATTTCATTGGTGGTGTCCGTAACAGTGAAGTAAGTTTCTAAATCAAGAACTCTTTTCTGATAATTGAAATGCACTGATAAGCCCGATTAACATTTATGAGTTATGCTCACAATGCAATTACAGAGCAACCATACCTATTTTACTCATGGACATATTTCTAGACAGTCAAGAGTCTTATCTATTATAACTATCTTCAAGCCCAGCACTCTGCAATACTGAAATGATTTGCAATTTTTGACATATTGCAGAAGCACTTGACCTCTTAACTCAATTTCTGAACCATGCAAGCTTTTCCATCAAACTGTATGTTAATAGTTAAATAAATGTTTCTGAATTTCCTGATGACCTTAGAGTTATAATATTCTATTCATGTGTAGTAGGAATATATATATTAATCTTTTTCATTAAATATTAACTTGATAAGTAGTTAAAAACTTTAATATTTAAATGTAAAGTTTCTTCGAAGAACTTTACAACTCTGTGGTCTATGCTTATGTTGAATATTTTGGCTTTGTCTTATTGTAGACTTTATCAAGGCTGTCCTGTGCATTTAAGACAGAGAATCAAACACGCCAGGTGGTATGTGACCTTGGAAATCCCATGAAGGCTGGAACTAAAGTAAGATAACTGAGTTAAATTGCATTAAATTCAGTTTATTATTTCTTTTTCCTGAAGAGGGAACAGGGTGTTTTTGTCAATACCACAGTTGCCGACAAGTGAAATATTTTCTGAATGCCTCAGAGGCCTGGAAAAGTAACTTGGCATAGTAGATAGGGTCTTGGAATCTATCAATAGTAGTCAGTAAAGATTTGTTAAGTGCCTACTACGTTCCAGGCACTGTACTAAGCACTTGGGAGGGGTGGTGGGTTTGAAACCAGGCATAGAATATAATAGAAAATAAAGAATGTAGGGGCAGCGAGGTGGGGCAGTAGATAGAACACTGGCCCTGAAGTCAGGAGGACCTGAGTTCAAATCCGGCCTCAGACCAAACACTTGACACTTACTAGCTGTGTGACCCTGGGTAAGTCAGTTAACCCCAATTGCTTAAAATAAACAAATGAATAAATATTTAAAAAAAAAGAAAATAAAGAATGTAGCTGGAAAATTTTGGGCTCTCTATAAAGGAAGGCTTTGGGAGGAGTTCTCCCCAGCCCTCCAGTCAGATTGGAGAGGCAGCTGAGGGTGCTGAATAGGTATTGAGTATCAGAAGAAGATCGATCTCCATGATGATTAGGTGATGGGCTTATCCTGGAGAAGGCAATGATGTTCTTGGAGTAGAAACCAAGTAGAGCAGCTGATGGAAATAAAAATGGAAAATGAAAATGAAGTGTGCTATTGCCTAGCTAGTAAGTCTCTGAGGTGCCAGTTTCAAGTCCTAAACCTGATATTTGGTAGCAGTATGAGCCTGGAAAAAAATCATTTAACCCTTACATGTCTCAGGGATCTCCAGTGGGTTGTAATATGCATAAATAAAAGCAATTCTTATGCCAATTCAATCAAAGATTCCTCAAGCATTCACATATGCAAATACATAATTGTTTATTTAGCTAAGTTATTATTTCCATCATTTTTATTGGCTAAGTTTTGCTTATTTAAGACCAGAATTAGGCATGCCACCATTTACACTTGAGAATTCTGCTACCTTTGCCTGCCCCACTTCTCCCACTGGTAAGTTCCCCTTGGAACCTTCCTTCTTTCTGCCCCTTTCCTGGCTCTGCTCCTGATTTCCAGCTTTTAACTTGAAAACTTGACTTGAAGCTTCAGACCAGTGTCTTCATATCCTCCCCCTTCCCAGACCCCATTCAGGTCACCTTTGTATGTTGTCTTCTCATATTGGAATGTAAGCTCCTTTAGGGCAGGAATTTTTTTTTTTATTGTATTTGTATCCCAGCGCTTAGCACCATGCCTGGCTAAGGTAATTACTTATGCATTCCTCTTTCTTTGCTTGCTTTACTCCACTGTAATGGGGAGAGGGTAAAACTTTTGAGTTAAGGTGTGTCTCCCAAAACTTATTCTAACAAATATTAGTAGATCTTGGTTGTGGGGATGTCATGTTTCTTTTTTGTACCCCTTGAATGTGTATCATTTTATTTTGGTATGTAGATGCATAGAATATTAGAGTGGAGATCATTTAGTTCAATCCCCTTATGATAAATATAAAGAAACTGAAGCCCAGAAAAGAGAAAAGACTTGTACAAGAACATGTAGCAAGTTAGAGACAAGCCAGAACTAGAATCCAGGTCTCCTTTCTCCAAACTGGATGCACTTTTCTTTATCCCATGTTGTGAATGCCCAAAGGAGACGCTTTACTAGTTTCAGGACAAAAGACCAGTGAGAGTCTGGTTTAGTTCATGACCCTGGGGCATGAAGGAATAAAAGATATACTTTCATATTTTATTTCAATCCTTTAAAAAGTAATTGCTTTGTGAATCTCATTGTAGCATGACTAAGATAGAGAAAAAAGTGTTTATGTATTTTGCTGTTCCTCTGTTGTTCGATCTAGTGAATCTCAGGTTTTGGTAATTTGAGGAATAGGCCTGTTATGATATAGCATACAGCATGATCAGGAGAACATTTTTGTTACAAGAATAGGTTTTTTATGCCAGAGAACAGCTTGGGATCATTAAAAGCACAGTTTTTTAAGTGCATTCCAGCTCTTTCTCCTTCCTATTCAATTCTGAGTCTGATCTACAGTCCATTTGTAGTGCCTATCCCAGATACATCAACTGAGGTACTAACTCAATAGATTGATGTTTTAGCCACATGTCTTAGTTTGGATTGGAAGTATTTTTCATAGTTAATTGTCCTTCATGGATTCTTAGGCCAATATGTTTTGAGTAAACACGGACTGCATTTATAAGTCCCTGTAATATTCAAGAACTTGATCTGGAAACGGAAGCATCTCGAAGACTATCTTTTAGGAAATCCTTTTTCATTTGTACTGTTCACATGACATCCTCCATGACAGATTAACCCTGGGAGTGATAGGTAACTTCATTTCTTTATTTAGCATCAATAATCACATAGTCATTAAACAGTTATCTTACAAACTTGGTCGTCATCTTTGACTGCTTAGACTCACTCCACACATATAATCTGATCCTGAATCTTGGGTTTTGTTTGTTTGTGTGTGTGTGTGTGTGTGTGTGTGTGTGTGTGTGTGTGTGTGTGTTGTTGTTGTTGTTTTGTTTGTTTTAACCTTCACAGCCACTCTCCAGTATGTCCCTTTACTCACATTAATTATTGCTTTGGTACAGGCCTTCATTCCCTCACACCTAGTCTGTTGCAGTCAATTCTGCAAGCAATCCCTGCTTCAAGTTTTCATCCCATTCCGATTCATCTTCCATTTTGTTGCCAAAGTGTTCTTACTAAAGCTCAACTCTAACCATGTTATCTCCCTGTTCAATAAACTCTAGTGGCTTCTTATTACTTCCAGGATGAAATGTAAAATCCTTTTTGGCTTTTAAAATCCTTCTCAACCTATACCTTCCTACCATTTTAATCTTTCTCCCATGAACTCTACAATCTAGCAGTACTAGACTGCTTGCTAATCCATGCACATAACACTCCATCTTTCCCTCCACGCCTTTAAATGGCTGTTCTCCAAGGCTGGAACACCTTTCCCCCATCATCTTTGCCTCCTGACCTTCCTGGCCTCCTTCAAGACTCAGCCCAAATCCTACTTCTTGCACGAGGTTCCTACTTCCTTGCACGAGGTGCACTTCTTTCCAGGTTCCTCCCTCTTTCCCATACCTAGCCAGTGCCTCCATATTACCTTCCATAGTCACTCTATGTATTTTGTATCTAAATAGTTGTTCGCATGTTTTCTAGCTCATTAAAATGTGAGTTCTTTGAAGACCCGGTGCTTAGCACAACAACTGATTCATAGTAAGCACCTAATAGATACTTTCATTTATCAACAAATAGCTCAATTATTTATCTACTGACCTACTCTGTGGATGCATTTATCATTGTGACTCTTTGGAACACCTCTCTCTCTAAGAATCAAAGTTACAAGTGACCGAAACTTTAGTGGAGAAATTTGTGGGTGAATAGGTTACAGCCAATTGCCAATAATGACCTATTTACTTATATTCAAGAAGAATATCATTCTTAGTAAAGACTATCATTCAAGAAATAAAAATCAAAACAGAAAGTGAGATGTTCATGTAACAAGTGAGTGATAACAGTAGATGGGTGGCTCAAGAGCTGTAATGCTTAACACAGTGCTTGTTACACAATAGGCACTTAATAAATGTTTATGATTGATTGCACTGGCACTCATAGTGTTAAAAAGATGTTGAAGAAAGCCTCTATGGAGTAGCATAAAGAAGCTGTGGGAGAAATTGGGCAAGGCTTGAATAGGATTTGCAGGTATGAATGGGTTATAATCTGAAGTGATGGAGGGAGTGCCCGCAGTGGTAAAACCTAGAACCATTGAAGGTAGAACATCAAATGTTATAAATCCTTCCATGTTTCCTCCAAGCAGAAATATATATCGTGGTGAGAAAATAACATATATCAATTTAAAAAAGAGAATATCTTTGAACATTATTGTAGGTTCAAAAGTAACCTTATTTTCAAATTCAGATATTGAGTAGGTGGGGTTGAATTTGGCACACACTGCAAGAAAACTGTTGTGTTTGTCAGTTTGGTTTGTTTTTCTTTGTTATTAGGGAGATTTTTATGGGGGGAATAGTAAATGGGGACCTTTTTTTCAACAAACACATTGTCACATTTTTTAAAAAATTTGAGTTGGTTAATAGCTTAAATTTAAAAAAAATGAGGTAGGAATTCTTACTAATTAGGTGCTAGCTCATCTTAATATCCTGTCCTTTTTCCCCTCCCTAGCTTTTAGCTGGTCTTCGTTTCAGTGTGCACCAGCAGTCAGAGATAGATACTTCTGTGAAGTTTGATTTACAGATCCAGAGGTATGAAAATAAGAATAACAGCTTCTTCCTATTTACCTAATAATTTCACAGAAGACATATGATTAAAAATCACTAAATCTGGCATGTTTAGTTTTGTACAAAATGAGAATATAGGCATTATATTATTTAGGTTTTAACATTCTTGAAAATAATATGTAACTAATAGGAATAAATTTTCTGTGGGACTAAATTTGATATTTATTTCAGTAAACATACACATTAACATGCATCTAGCACATCATCTCATCCATGGTGGGTGCTCAATAAAATTTTTGAATTTGTCTAAATTAATAGATGTTAATTTAATTAATAGATATGTATTTCCTTATATATATAGACTTTAAAGAAAATTCTAGAAAGATCATTCATTTTTAATCTTTGAAAAATATTGGAATTCATTGCTTTTTATAGTTATTAATATATTTTTCAGAAATCATAAGTGCCCTTTACATTTCTCTTGACCCTCTTTAAAATATGTTCATTTTTAATGAGTGATCTCAGAATACCTCATGTCACTGAGAATTTATGATGTAAGTGTGCTGAGTTCAGTGCTTAACTGCTTTTTCCTTTTTCTTTTTTCTTTTTAGTTCTAATCTGTATGACAAAGTGAGTCCAATGATATCTTACCAAGTTGACCTTGCCATTTCTGCTGCTGTTGAGATAAGAGGGTCGGTAACTAAAAAAATCTAATCCCTATAATTGCTTTTACATTAGATGTTAACCTTGTTCTATGGTATGATATTCTAATCACCCATTTACTGAAGTCCTCACCTTTTAGAAAGAATTGGGTCTAGGATGGCATGTTAATTTTAGAATATGCTTCAATGCTAAAATTATCTATATAGTCACTGTTTTGAAAAGTGGCAGATACTAGCATGATAGCAGCAGGTATGACATAAATGTCTTTATTCTATTATAATTATTTATTTATCAATTCATGTTTTAACTTAAAAGATTAATAGAGGGCAATTAGTTTCACATTTTTTCATTCATACATTTTTGTGTGATTCTTTCATTTTATTCAGTCTATCTCCCAATAAACACTTATTAAACACTGTACGTAAAGCACATTGCTAATTGCTGAAGATATAAGAAAAGTATAAACCAGACTTTGCCCTCAGGGAGCTCACAGTCTAATGAGGCTGATAAATGCACAACTAACTGTATGTAAAAGACATAGAGTGTACATGGAAGGTAATCTTAGAGCAAAGGTACACGAAGTAGAGGTAGGAAAGGAAAGGATAGAGAAAGGCCTTTTTTTCTTTGAAAATGTTAGGATAATTTTGGTGAGGCAATTGGAGTTAAGTGACTTGCTCAGGGTTACACAGGGTCACACAGTAAGTGTCAAGTGTCTTGTCTGAGAGCAGATTTGAACTCAGGTCCTCCTGACTCCAGGGCCAGTACTCTATCCACTGCACCACCTCGCTGCCCCTATGTTAGGATCATTTTAAAAAGAAACTGATGATGTGATTCTAATCATAGTAAGTTTGAGTTTTCTTTCAACATTGTTTAGAGTCTCAAGCCCTGATCATGTCTTCCTTCCTATTCCAAACTGGGAGCATAAGGAGAATCCACAGACTGAAGAGGATGTTGGGCCTGTTGTGCAACACATCTATGAGGTTTGCAGTTATTTGTGCACCTTAAAATGTCATCAGTATTAGTTATTAGTATTATTATTAGCCAGTAGGGAAAGAAAAAAATAAATTTTTCACTACTTTTCAATTTCATGTATTTGTCATCTTCACTTTAAAACTTAATCATCACAGAATCCTTAGATTTTTCTTCTTACTAATCATTTCATTTTCTCTTAGTTGAAATAGTTATATATGATTTTAAAAATGGTTTCTAAAAATATTCTTTTAAGCCAACTTGTTTTACTCCAGTCAGATAAACATCATGATATAGTGTAGAGCTAGGCTTGGAATCAGGAGGACCTGGGTTTCAGTCCCTCTTCTAACACATACTAGCTCCTTGGCCCCAGGCAAGTATTCTAGATGCTCTAAGATCCATGCAGATCAGTTGCTGATCTGTATTAATAAAGGACATTACCTCCACAGGTGATCCCTATATCAATGAAATCCTAGGACCAAATTCTCCCTCCCCAAAATAAGAAAAACAAAAGGCTTTTTAAAAGTTTCCACAAATAAAATGTTGAATTTTTAAATGATGTCATTAGTCATCTGTTTGTATGATTACATTAATACTATAATTTTAAAGCCATCAATAAAATTCTACCTTTATTTTTATTAATAGTGTTAAAATTATTCATTAAATACTAATCCCAAGGTGGATGGGAGGGGAAATCTTTAGTAGTAGCTTTTAACTGTTCTTCCTTCATTAGCTGAGAAACAATGGTCCAAGTTCATTCAGCAAGGCGATGCTAAATCTTCAGTGGCCTTACAAGTATAAAAACAACACTTTGCTATATATCCTTCATTATGAAGTTGATGGACCAATGAACTGTACTTCAGATACGGAGATTAACCCATTGAAAATCAAGGTAATATTGTTTAAACACATTTGTTGATTAGAGTGGATTTTTTCTGTATCTCTTTATAACTACATAGGACAAATGCATGTAAAAATAACATTTTAATGTATCAACTAATTCAACAAAAATAGTTTTGTTCACCTTTGATGCATTCTGGGTTGGGTTGTTTGTTCTCATAATTGAATAAAGTTGGACTTAAGGAAGCCCTAGGGAACCATACTTTTACAGATTGTCTAGGGTGCCTCAGGAAGTATTTGTCAGTGACTCAGTCTGTGGATTGTTTCCCACCACATACGCTAGGACTGATCCAAGGCCTCAGTATGATGTCAGGGATGTTGTGTCTTTTGGATGAAATATAGAAATGAGCTCCTGGCAATGTTGACTTTTAGTGACTTAGAAGAATTTTGTTTTGAATAAAACTAATGGCAAGTTATTATAAGGTATCTGAAAAAGCAGTATGAGGGAGAGAAAGAAGAAAAGGGTTCTTAGGTGAGTCAAATGTAACATAAGTTGCCCTGTGAAAGTTCTGGAATTTATTGGGTATTCCAGAAGCTTATATTTTTTTTCTAATGATAGTGGAAAGAAAGATTCAATGAATGATCCATTTCTCTTCTGTGTACATGTTAGTCATCATCATCATCACCTTCATCATCATTATTAGCGCCTAGGTCTCCCAGTTTCACCTAGGCTTAAAACACAGCAGCATTCATGGGCCTGATCCTGACCTGCTCCATTTCTGATCTGGGCCAGTTTGGCCTTCTCTAAGTAGTTTGGTAGCCCCCTTGCTACCTGAGGTGCACCATCTTGATGCTAGACTTAGTATGATAAGCTTGAGCCCTACTGCAGCTCTGAAATTTCTAGCTCAAATGATACGCTATTCTCAGCTTTTTGGTAGCAGGGATTTCAGACATGTGCTACCACTGGTGGCAGAGTCCTTATACTAAGTTCTTGTAGGCATAGTGCATCCCATATTTTTTATTTTCTTTCCTGAATTTTGCCATGTATCTAGTAGTGAATTCTCTTATCACAATATGACATGATGCCACTTTTTGTTCACCAATTTTTAATCCTTTCTGAGATCCTTTATAGGATCATAGTTTTATTAACACCTGGAAGGGACCTTAGAGGTTATCTAGAGCAATAATCCTGTTTCTTGCCTAGTGTTGCTCATGTAGTAACTATTTACTATGTTAAAATTTAAATGCAATATAAAATATAATCAATTATTACAATTTCTCATCACAATTATTAATGTAATCCTAGATTTCAACTCCTCAGATAGATGAAAAAAATGAAACAAACTTAGGACAAGGTGACCGGAGTCATCACATCACTCGACGGGATTTATCTCCCAATGAAGGGGATGTACACACTTTGGTAAGTACTTTTGGAATTTTGCTGATTCCATTTTACTTTCAAAAATACAAAATTATAACAATAATCCAAAAGAATACAGATATTTAAAGAATAGCAGTTGTGATCAAATGTATAAATATAATATTCAGCCAATCAGTGAACATTTATTAAATGTCTGCTATGTGCAAGGAATTGTGTTAAGTCTTGTGGATATAAAGCTAGGCAAAGATGGCCCCTGCCCTCAATGTGCTCACAAACATTACCAGGTCCTTTTACTTTCCTGAGAGCCAATAAAATAAGTTAACTTTGAACTTATTCTGAATACTGTGTACTGTATTACATAGCCCCTAATACTGTAATACATATTCCATATTTCTATTCCTTTTCTTATAGCCTTTCTTTGCCACCTTCTTGGCTACAGCTTTTTCTTTAAGACCCAAGTAGCATATTTCAGTGGGATACTGATTGAAAAATGTCAGACAGTAGCAGGAGGGTACTAGGTGGTGGGGGTAAATAAATAGGAGAGAGCACTGCAAAGGAGGTGGAGAACAAACGTGGCCTACTATGCAATTTTGCTCAGATCTCACCCAATTCAACATCTTTCCCTCATCAAATAATGCCTTTCTATAAATATGATGCTGTGACACATCTCTGAATCATACCTACTATAACTCTTGAGTGCCCTATTAATGTCACTATGACCATTCTCACATTTTTCCTGTCTCAATAATCTCCCTGGTATTCAAATATTAACTATGTTTTTATTGAAAAAAATCTAGACACATAATGATATCTGTTGCCTTTCCACCTGATCATCTATAGTATCTGGATTGTGTACCAGCTTTTATATTAGTGTCCAACGTCTCATCCTTATATGTAACTGTGACTTTGGCCCTTAAGTAATCCTTATATAAGCTCCTTACAAGAGTAGAAGGCTGTTTTCTTGCTTCTGGCATTCTCTTTATGTTTTGAGATAGCCTCCATTTAACAATCTTTATTGCCTTTCTAGTTTAATCATAAGCTACTTAATGTTAGACACTCTGCCTTTTACTTTTGTGCCTATTCTAGTGTCAAATTGAAAGTCACTAGGGGAGTAGTGGAGGGCTCAAAGCCAGAAAGACTTGGATTCAAGTCCTGCCTCTGACATATGCTTTCTGTGTGACTCTGTGCTTGTCACTTAACCTCTTAGTTCTCTAGGCAGCTCACTAAGTCTGTTAGTTGCAGAAAAGGTACTGGCCTCCATGAATAGAAGACAGTTCCTCTTCTTGGAATTCCCTATACAAAAAAAAAAATCACAGGTCTAGTCCCTATCCTTGTAGTATTAAGTATACAACAGGTGCCCATTACATGTTTATTGAAGTGAGAATTTAATTGACAAAGAGACTTCTCCCTGTCAAGTCATGTTGTAATTTCCAATCCAATAAACATTTCAATGCTATAAAATTTAATAAGTGCTTAATATGTGCTAGACACTGTGCTAAGCTCTGGGGATACAGTTAATAAAAAGACAGTCCCTGCCCTCAAGGAGCTTACAGTCTAAAGGAGTGTGGGGAGACAACACATAAAAGGAGTCAGGAAAGCAAAGGGGAGTAGATCAAGGGGTACCTGGTGCATCTTGTTTCATGGAGTTGAAACCAGGCAGAATAGCAGATGCAAAAAAGAGTGAGTCTAGTTTCTGCCTCTATAACAAAGGCATCAGGAGAAGTTTGGAATTCTACCCTTTAGCCCTCCAATCAGAGGGAAGAGGGAAGAGGAGGCTGAGGGAGGTGGTAATTAATAAAGTCAATTTTGTACTAATTAATGGGGGAAGGGGAGAAGATAGTAACTTGCTGATGAGATTTACTATTTAGGGGGAAGTAAGCAGAAGACAGAAGGGGAAGAGAGAGGCCTACAAAAGTGTAATCATCTGAACCCCCTGCAACTTTATTCATCTCCCTTTCCAATTTAAATTTTAGTTGTTTAAATCACTTGCCACGGGACACATAGCTAGTGAGTGTCTGAGTCAGGATTTGACTACTTCCTTCTGGCTCCAGGTCCAGCAGTCTACCCAGTATGCCACTTAGAATAAAACTGGCCTATAACAAGATTTTAAAATTTAAATTTCAAAATATCTGTGTTTAATGATATTTGTAAACAACTAAAATTTTGTCACTCAGTATAGTCACTCTTCCTCCATGCTTTCTTTACTCCAACTATATACTTATTTTTTTTTACATTTTTCAAAATTTATGTTGTTTTGAATTTGTATACATACATTTTGTTTTCACACAATTGAAGTTTGTTAACAAACACCAGGATGGTCTGATTGAAAAATAGTTTCTGAGAACTGCTCAGCAAAACCGATGGTATAATTTCACTTATTTTACCAAGCTATTTCTGGTTGCTGCCTTTTTTGTCTTTTTATTTCAATTTAATTTATTTTTTTTTGGTTTTTTTATGTATTTATTTAGTATTTTATTTTTCCCCAGTGACATGTCCAAGCATATATTTGAATAAAGATGATAGGTTTTTATCCAAGCCATTGAGAAAAATGTGAATGAGATTGGGTCATGTACAGAAACCTGTGATATTCTGGTAAACACCTCCCTCCAGGTTGACATTTCTCATTAAATCATTGAAAAATGCTTTGTAGGAAGAGTTGTTCAATGAAATTAAGTTGACCAGTCAATAAGTATTAAGCAGTTAATATGTGCTAGACACTGTCCTAAGCACTGGGGATAGAAACAAAAACAAAGATATGGTACCTGACCTCAAGAAGCTTTCATCCTACTGGGGAAAGACAACACATAAAAAGGATGATGAAGTATTGTGTATGCATGTGGGGGGGAGTGTTGGATCCATCTAAGTGTACTATTGGCCACTATCCATTTCTCTATCGTGTCCTCAAATATTTCATAAGAGATTGTTGAATGCCTTTCTGAAGTATTTCAAGATGCAGCCTATGTATAGTGTATTTAAGTGGGCATAACATACATTTTGATATTGCAGGGAGTTTTTCTTTTTTTTTTTTAGAACAAATTTTATCATTAGAGAAATCTCTAGCAGTTTTTAGTCATCTGATCAGTAGCTCACCTGTTTTAAGTGATAGTCCACTATCTCTCACATGTGCACAAGTGCGCACCCACACACATATGCACAAGAATTATTTTTTCTAGTTCATTATAATAAGATTTGTCCTACATGTAGAAAGAGTGGCATGTGAATTTTAATTCTTGATTTTCCGAATTTTAAAGATTTGTTTTTTGTATGACGCAAGTGACATTTCCTTGAAAGTTCAACAACTCTGTTTTTGTCAGGGATGTGGGACTGCTGAATGCTTGAAGATTGTCTGTCAGGTTGGTCGCCTTGACAGGGGAAAGAGTGTGATCCTATATGTAAAGTCTCTGCTGTGGACTGAGACATTCATGAATGTGAGTAAAGAGAATGTCTTCATGTTGACCCTACAAAATTTTCTCAAACAAAAGTTGTTTGACACCTAAGACAATTATCTTAATATTATTTTTCCACAGAAGGAAAATCAGAATCATTCATACTCACTGAAGTCATCAGCTTCATTCAGTGTCATAGAATTTCCCTACAAGAACCTCCCTATTGATGATATCCACAACTCTACATTAGTGAGTAACTTGTATGGGGATGTGAAGTCAATGTACATAATCTAAGTGGTAGAAGAACTGTTCAAAATAAGAAACTGTCTTGACCATTTCAAATAATATATATATGTATTTTGATAGGTTGCTGAAAATGATTTCTGTTCTTTCCTACCTCCAAGTAATAAAGCTGGACTCTTTACTTGATTATCCTTTCCTACTTCAGAGTCTTACTGTAGCTTATAATTTTGTGAATAAAATTATTGTGTGGACTAGAAGTCATTTGGTGCAATATTAGTAGGCAACTATATAGCAAATACTTTGATATTTTAAGTTCCAACTAAAATGATAAAGAACAATACAACATCATAAGACCAACTTTTATAAATGCCTGGGATCTCTTTCCAAGAGAATTTAAAATCTAATGTTTGGAATTGTGTGTGTACATATGACTCTGTAGTGAAATTGCTATTTGCTACCACAATCTATTATATCACTAAGCCTAGTCTATTTCTTTCCAAGCCTACTAGTCTCTGTTGCAGGAGGAAAACACATTACATATATTTCTAATGTTAACAATTCACATTTATACTTTACAAAGCATCTTCCCCACCTCAAATCTGTGAAGTAGGTAATACAAGTATTATTATATCTATTGTATAAATGGGAAAATAAATTCAGAGAAATTAAATAACATTGATTTGGTTAAAGACCAACAAAGTACCTATTTAGGTCTCAAACCCTTCTCCCGTGATTCCTTGCCCAGAGGTCTTTCTACCACAACACACTTCAGTTATTGAAAAGGCTGAAGCAAATCTTGTGCCATTCTTTTCTAATATTTGTTGAATTTTTTCCCCAATAGGTTACCACTAATATTACCTGGGGTATTCAGCCATCACCCATGCCAGTGCCTTTATGGGTGATCATTTTAGCAGTTCTTGCTGGATTATTGTTATTGGCTGTTCTGGTCTTTGTAATGTACAGGGTAAGTAATAGATATTGTGGAGGGGGCAGGGATGGGAGGAGAAAAGTCTATAAGGATGTCATTTTACTGAGGCAAAAGTCATATAATTTGAATTCCAGCAAATCAGTCAACAAGCATTTTTAAGTTTATATATATATATATATGTATATGTATATGTATACACCAGATACTTGGTGCTAAGTACTGGAGATGAGGGGAAAAAAAGTCCTTATTTTCAAAAAGCTTATAGTCTAATGGTGGGGAGAAATTGGATATAATTAGAGGGAAAATACTAGCATTAAGGGAGATTATGAAATGCTTCTTCGAGAAACATTTTTTTTAAAAAGTGAGATTTTATCTGGGCCTTGAATCTAGGAGATGTGAATGAAGAGGGCAAAAATTCAATAAATAGAGCACTCTTAAAAGAAAGAAACAAACAAACAAATTATATCTCTATTTTTAAAAATAGTGTTTTTCTTGATCTTGTTTCTCCTTTAAATTATAGATGGGGTTTTTTAAACGGGTCAGACCACCTCAGGAAGAACAAGAAAGAGAACAACTTCAACCTCATGAAAATGGTGAAGGGACTTCAGATGCTTAACAACTTTTAATTTATGCAACATACTTAAACTTTAGAATTGCCAACTTCATTATGGATTTCAGTTTCTCTGAAGAGGAATAAACACTCCATGACTGCACTGCTGATCACACCCTTTGGCATAGATGAATAGCCATAAACAACTAAATGAGACAATGAGTCAGCCATCTTTTGTATTAACCATGTTCCTAATCCAACTAGTAATGCACATGCACTGACATGTGTGGAAATCGTAAGTATTGTTTAATGATTTTGATAATCAGATTTCAAGAGAATGTGCCCTGTTTGATGAACATCAGACTGATGTTTCTTGAATTGCCACTTGGATTTAATGAAAATCTTAAAACCAGCAGCTTTTGTAGTTACTGTTTCTAACAATGGTTTTGTTTTTTATTTTTCTCTTTAAGACAAGACTTTATTTGGGCCTTAGCGTCCTATTCTTTTGTACAGATTCATACTGTTAATAAGCATTACACTACAGGTGATTTCCAAGCTTGAATTCCTTTTTAGTATTTTACTATCTATGTGACTCCATCAGTCATCTTTCTAGAGACCATAAATGAACTAGCTATAAATGTAGCAGTCAGAATCACTAAAATATGTTTGAGCCTTCTGTTTTTTATTGCATTTAATTTTTTAAAAATCGCTTTTGTTTCAAGGACAAACACTTTAGTCAGTCAGTCTCTACTAATTCAAAACATTAAATGTCTAATTGTAAACTTTTTTTCAGTAATTGAATTTTAATAATTACATTAAAATCACCTTCCTGAAAGCCATATAGGGACTTAAAGCATTCTAAAATTACCTCTATTCCTATTTTTATAGTTAAATAATTTGTATGTACTCCTGATCAATCAAATATTTATGGGTGTTTAATTTTAATCAACTTTTAGGAAGTAATCACAGGCTACATTATAAGTTAAAATTATATGAATGAAAAGATCATCATTGTTGACGCAGCTGTTTACTGTTCACTGGGTTCAGTCAATTTTGTAATTTGAGATGGTTTATCTTAAAATACATTTTCTTCATATTTTGAAACTGACACAGAAAACAATCTCAAGATAAATGGAAATGAGTCTACTTTGTTCTCAATTTGCTCTTCTCTCCTTAGCAGAAATGTTTATTTGTAAAACAGAATCAACCCCACCCCTCAGCCCAGTTCACCAGTGGGTTTATTTCTTAAATAAGATATTACTAATGTAAAGTGTTTTCCTAGGGTTAAGATTAGTTATAAATCAACCTTCCAGTTTTTCCTAATCTATAATAATTTATAAAGGCAATTTTAAAAATTCCCCATATAAAAACACAAATAAGGCTAATATTCTAGGCATTTTAATGATAGCTGCATATGCAGGGAACTTATATTTTCAAATCCCTGTAGTGGTGAATCTTCACGAGTGAGATTTTGATGTGCTCACCATGCTTTAGGATTTGAGCACGATGATATCAGTTGATTTTGACTTTGCTATTGCTCTCTGTAAGGACATTATGATGATGCAATTAGGATTAAGAAAGTTGAACACCATTTGTAAAGTTTGGTCTTCATTATACAGTGTTACATATTTCTCTCTTAAATCAGATTTTTTTCTTAAGTTTCACAGGGAGCCTCAAAGCATTTCTGCTTTTCTTTGAATAATTTTGTGTACATGAAATAATGTTGGGTTATAGTCACAAAATTGAAGTACATATAGTGAGCTTATACAAATTAGTTGCTCTGAGAACTTCTTTGTATAATTTTAATAAGCGTATTGTTTGGCAAAAGAATTTCAAATCAGATGTATTTTTGGAGCAGTGCTTTTTGCCAACAATTTTAAAAGGGATCTTACATGTACGTAAATATTTTATGAATGAACTTGGTATTTCGTAAAAAAATTATTTGTAATAAATATCCTATGGTCTTGTCACCATGTAGCCATTTTGAATTTTACTGACACTCCTCAAACAATCACTTTAGATGTTTTCACAATTGCTACCATTTACTACTACTGCATCTTTTATGAGGCAATCTACACTCATCATTTAAAGTCACAGAAATGATTAAATTAGACATGTTACAATCCGTTCTCTTCTTGACCTGTGCCTGAAATTAAAGCACATTCTAGTATTGCAGAAGCAAAGACTGGATGATCCATTAACACTGGAGATAGTAGTAAAAAAAAAAATGAAATAAAACTTAAAACAGTAATGTGACTCATGAAAAAGATGGAGAAATGCCAAACCTGATTTTAAAAAATTGTATAATTTATAGATTTCTCTTTCTGAAGCAAATATTTGAAAAATAATTTAAGTATTGGTTTTTACTCTAAAGTATGATGTGAATGTATATAGTTTTCCATATAATAATCCTATAAAATATGTATTTGTGTTGCCAAAAAAGGTACTACTTTGTTAATGGGTATTCACAATTTTAGACCTATACCTTTTAATTTGATTCTTAGAGATAGTATCATAATGAATTTGAAAGTCTTAATTGGCAACAAAGATACATTTAGTATGACCTAAAAAGCCAAGTATTACATATGTTTTAAATTACTAGTTATAAGAAACTTTTGCTGATAGTCTTACTAGCTCACCTCTTCCTTTCCTTTCCCCCCCATTTTTTTTCTAAGTTAAGAGTCTAATTTTGGTGACATTGTTCTAAGGAATTTTGAAACATAAGAAAAATAAAAACATTAATAGACATTTTTCTAAAAAAAAAACAAATCACAATTCCTTAATTTTAAAACTTTTTTTTATCACACCTATTAAGGTAACAATTACTTTCAGAGAAAATTCATGAACTATTAGAAAATTAGCCTTTCAGAATTATTTGAGGGAAGTATGAAATATTTTTAAAATGTGTCCATTTCTTTAAAAAAAGACTTTGATGGCAAGGTCGTGATAAGTGCTGCATTTGCTAGTTTTCATAAATCAAATTGGTCTCTGTAGGTTGGTGTTTCTTCAGAAGGTTACAAAACTTAATGCTAAGAGGATTATCACATGGCTGCTTTTCTCTTTCTGGCATCATACTCATTGGTAACCAATCATTAGCAATAATACCACCTTGTTTAAAGGTAATCTGTTACCTGTGGTAATCTTGTACATGTAAAAGACAGTTCCTTGTGGAAAAGAAACAGAATTGAAAAATGTATACTAGAATGAAGAAGCTTATGACTCATTCTTAATTTTGTAGTGTACCTTTTTTCACTTGGTGATGTGGTTTGGAGTAAGCCTTTATAGACTGCCAACATGAAGAGTATGTGCTAGGTACTGAAATTTTGGGGGATATGTACTAAATCTTTTATTTTTTGTTCTCAAGTGCAATATAACAATTTAACAAGGCATGGGTAATTTCAAAGTTATTAATTTAATAGTCCTTAATCTAATAAAAGATTGTGCTTTTGACAGTCTGATTCTGCTGTTCTTATCAGGCAAAAGAACTTTGCCTTTGTTCCATTCAGAAAGTTGATTTTAGACTGCACTTAGGTATTGTATCTAACCAGACTAATGCATTAAGAAGAAAATACTGTACTGCTTAATAACTTATATACTGAAAAATAGACAGGAGCCATGAGCCTAGAGGTCCATGATCTGGGACATACTAAAGATCCTTTATTAACTTCAGAGGGAGAAATAGCCTTCCTTCAATTTCAGTGGAAGTTTTACCTATGTTAAAGAAGTGCATAATTCCTTCTATGTGGTTTTAAAATATTTTATGGCAACTTAGAAAATACATGTATCAAATTGAGTTGATACATAAAAACTGTAGAAAGCAATTTTCTTTGTTACTTACTCTGACCACCCATATTGGGTATGACATGAAAATAAAATTTTTCATTTGCTAGCTCAGTGATTTGAGTTAGATAAAAATTGATACAGTGCTCTGCAGAGTGTTTGCAAAGTGTAACTATAGTAACTGTACAGTAAGATTGGGCAGGGCATATGATGCCACTTCTGCTCCTGGTCTTTATATTTTCACTGTATCTTTTCTTTAAAAAAAGTTCTTTTGACACAATGAGCCATCAGTAATTCACTAAATGGTAACCTTGTGGCCATAAAGAGAGAGAAGAAAGAAAAACAAAAATAAAAGCAATCTAATCTTAAAATATATTCTTATAAAGTCAGTATACATGGAAATGACAGCAATCCTTAGATTTTAAGCAAAATATATAAGGAGTCAAAAAGGCAATATCACACTGACCTTTAAGAATAAGAGTGGTTGCTATTTGCAAAACTAGACACTTACCTCTTCATTTTATAGAAAGAAATTTTTTGGCATCTACAATGTTAGTGCAATAAATGTTAGTAAGCCTTTTTTTTTTCCCACATAGCTATTCAGTAATATAAGACTTAAGAAAAATCAGCTTACCCCTTGGAATTTTTGATATATATCCACTGATCAAATATTTATAATTCAAGAAAGAATGGAATTAACATAAACAATCCCACCAATATATTCTAATAAAAGTAAAATACACTGATAAGAGGTCTATGAGTTATAGTGCTCTATTTGGAAAAACAGTTACTGATATTAACTCATAATGGGGCTGATGTGATATCTGTTTCTTAATCAAGTTTTATCTCAGAGATCCTCTTTCCCCTCTGTGATAAGATTTATTTGTTGAAATGCACTCTGATTTTTTCCAAATATATTTTAAGATGTTTAATGATGGTGTTCATGGGTAAATCCTATTGTAAATATTCATTTTTGGTCCTGAGAATTTTGCAATAAAATACCTCTACATGCAAAACCAAAGGCTTTCTTTTTTTTTTGAGTGAGATGTTGATATATTTATACTGCTGCTAAAGTTGTGATAGTGCGCTGCTAGCAATCTTCTGTAAAAGTTGTGAACTTTAGGAGGTATGATACAATTTTAAAATGCCATTTTCATTAGCACATATTTAATTCAATTTTCTCAAAGCATAGTAAACCTCAATTTTTGTTATTGTTGTTGAATTGTTTCAGTTGTGTCCAACTTCTTGTGACCCCATTTGGGGTTTTCTTGGCAAAGATGCTGGAGTGGTTTGATATTTCTCCAACTCATTCGTACAGATGAAGAACTGAAGCAAGCAGCGTTAAGTGACTTGCCCAGGATCACAATTAGGATTGTAAGTGTCTGAGGCCAGATTTGAACTCAGGAAGACGAGTTTTCCTAATGGTGGGCCTGGTGCTCTATCCATTGTGCTGCCTAGCTGCCCATTAAATCTTAATTACTCAATGGTGATTGAAAAAAGCATTTTCATTAAGCCTTCTGTTTAACTGACAGTTTAGATATCTCCAAAAGGTCTTGAGAATATATAAAGTTGGATCAAAATACAAGAATTTGGTAATGATTCCAAGAGACAGAGTAATAAGAAAATATTAAAACAACCACATTTGCAGTTTTGTTCCTATCTCTTTAAATCAAAACTTTTCTTAATATCCTCATTTACAAGCATAAGTCTTAGACTAAAGGTCAATTATTTGTGTTCCCCTAAGCACAAAAATAGAAAGCCCTAGAAATTGTTGAAAAATTATTAATCTAACATGATTTTCAGGTAACAAAGTTCAACTTTCTTGCCCTTCTCCAAATTATGGACTTTGTTGGCTGTAATACAAATATGCAAAGACTTGGAGTGTCTCTTACATAAAAGTTTAAAAAAAATTTAACTTCAAATTGACTTCTGAGGCATTTTACTCTTGCCTGAAGGCTTCGGAAAAAAAAAGTGTAAGATCTTCAGATGTAAAAGATCCAAAAACAGACCTTGAGATGGTATATGCAAATCAATTTGTAAACTTTAAATTGCCATAGCTAATATTTAGAAAATTCTTTAAGGTTTGAAATATTTTACATATATTAACTCATTTGGTTCTCGCAATGACCCTGTGAGATAAATAGTATTTTGCTATCCCCATTTTATAGATGAAGAAATGGAGAGATGTTAAGTGACTTGGCCAGGAGTCACATAGCTAATGTCTGAGACATGATTCAAACTCCGGTAGTAATAATAATAATGATGATGATGATGATGACAAAATAACAATTAATAATAATAACAACAACATAGTGCTTACTATGTGCCAAGTGCTGTGTTAAGTCCTTTATAATTATTATCTCATTTGATTTCACAACAACCCTGGGAGGTAGGCATTATTATTATCTCCATTTTACAGATGAGGAAACTGAGACAAATAGAGATTAAGTGACTTATGCAGGGTCACATGGCTAGATTTGAAGTTAGATTTTCCTAACTAAATTCTAGCACTCTATCCACTACACCATCTAACAACAACAATAATGTTATACATTTAATTGCCCAGTTAAGATCTAGACAATGGAAAATTTGATTTTATTAACTCACTTCTTTTTGTAACTAATTTTTCACATTTAGTTCCTTGAGGGCAGGGACTATATTTGCCTCTTTTTGTATCCCCAGTGCTTAGCACAGTACCTGACACATAGGAGGCACTTAATAAATATTTATCGATTGATGTTTATTTCCTATTTGTTACATAGATTCAAATATTAAGAAAAATGAAAGAATACATATATGTAATTTTTTGCAACAAATTCATAGTATTTTACTAGATACTCTACATAGTTGTAGACCTTTCAATGAATATCCCAGTATTTTGCACAAAGAAAAAGGATAGGTAACTATGGGCCAACTTTATACAAGAATATCCTTAGTATTTCCCTGAGTGGGGGTGGGGTGAACAACCTAAAATCATACTGCTGAGGAATGTTCTTACTCTTCCCTGCATTTTTCTCCCTTCATTGAATTTAGAGGACTGTATTTGATCCAACCCTCTCACTTTGCAGATAAAGATTAAAAAAAACAACAATAAAACATCAATGAAGCTTAAATTAAACCTGAAAGTAGCCTGGGAGCCACAACCAACCAAGATTTTTGATGACTCTTGTTAAAATTGTTTCTGATTCTATTAACTATTCTTTTAACTTAGAGTCACCAATAGTGGGTAGGTGAAAACGGACAAAGAGAAATCAAGAAATGACTAACTTAAAGCAGCAAAAATGTGATTTTATTTGCAATTGTGAAAATTGTGAAAAGATTACCTGGATTATAAAATTATAATTATAATATATATAAATATAAATATAGTTATAAAATAAAATTACTTTGTACATATGCAAGATGTACAAACATAAATGGGATAACCAGTCTATTAAATTACCTGTCTTTTCCCTTCTATTGATT